CTCCCTGCTCAGCTTCTCCCTCTGCCCCTCCCACTGCTCATGCTCTCAACTACCACCGTGTGTGTGTGTGTGTGTGTGTGTGTGTGTGTGTGTGTGTCTTGCTCTCTAATAAATAAAATCTTTATAAATAAAATCTTTAAAAAAAAAATTAATTAATCTTAAAAAAAAAAAAAGAATTAAGGTGTCTGTTAAGTCCCACCAGCTTTGCAGAGCTGTGAATGTTTTGCTGTTGTTCTTTGAAAAAAGAAGAATCTATAATAAAATGTTCATTCAAGAAAAATTCCGGATTTGTTTTTGTAGCCATTCTCAAGTTACTTTAAATTTTATACATTGTTCACAGGGGCAGAATACATATTGGTTGAGATGTGTTCATAGCTGATGCGTCTCCAAAGATTTTTCATGGATGCTGCCAGATTCTAAACATTTTCTATCCTGTCAGCATTATATAGAGAGGCCGGATGACTCCCACAGGCCCACTCCCTTTCAAGGAGATCAGATAGAGTTCAAGAGCTTTAGCAAGTAATCTTTTTTCCTAAAGCATTATGTCCTTCGGTACTGCCACTGCAGAATGGAATATTTGTCTTGCTTCTATTCTGGGATCCACTGGATATACCTAGAATCCTTGAGAATTATCAATAATATCACAAATCATTTGTGCTTTGATGCAGCTGAGCTTCTCCAATGGCTGCACTGCCTTGTGCTTAATCCACTTCAGGACCCAGCCCGTGTCATAGATGCTGAAACACGGAGGTGTGTTGTCTGAGGAGTGGTTTGGGGCCTGTACTTTGTATTCCAGGACCGAAGGGTACTCTCTGAGGGCGAACCCCAGGGGGTCATCACTAGTGATCACGAATGTGATCCCTGCAGAGCCAACATTCTTCTGAGCACCAGCAAAAATCACACCAAACTAGGAAACATCTGCCAGCTTGGATAGGACTTTGGAGGACATGGGGCCAACCACCATGGCTCCCTTGACATCACAGATAAAGGCAAACTCCCCTCCGTGCACGGTCTCGTTGGCCCACTAATGCCCATAGGAGGCGTCCGGGCTGAGATTCCAGGGGCTTGAATCTGGAATTTTTGCAAAACTCCCAAGTTTAGGGTAGACAATATTCACATCCCCAAACTTCTAGGCTCCTGCTGCCTTAGCTAACTAAGCTCCTGTCATCTTGCATGTAGCACACCTTCTTGTTTTCAGGCCAACTGGGTTTAAGAGTAACAGCAGGGGACTGGCCTTGACACACCTCTGTGCACAAAAGTCACCTTGTAGTTGTCCGGAACAGCTAACAATTTCTTTCCAAGATTCTCTGTGTTGTTAATCTTCTTAGCAAAAGCTGACGGCCTGTGGCTCATTTCAAGAGCAACAGTGCCAACTCCTATTGTAGTCTAATAATTCTTTTTGTATCTCTAAAAACACCAAGCGTTTTTAGACAGCTGGGTGGCCTGGGCCAAACCGACCGCCTGCCCAGGCGTCCGTGGCGGGCCGGGCTAGCCGGTGGGAGGGGGCTGCTCACCCGGCGGCACATCTCTTTCCTTGCTTTGATTACCCTTTGGTCGGAGCTTTCCCCTCCGGAACTGACTCCCCTTTCCTTCCACATGGCATCATCCAGCCGCTGTGGTAGCTGCTCCAGAAGTCAGTTCTCTTCTCTGTGAGGTGGGGCATTTTGTTCAAGTCTGAAAGAGGAGGCAAAAGCGAAAACTTGAGGCATGTTGCTGGTTGCCTCGGATGTTCAGTGGCAGCCTCGAGATAGGGCCCGCAGTCCCCCAGAAAATGACTGATTTATGCCCCAAATGGCCAAACTGGGAAGGCCCAAGTGACGCTGGTTGGCAGCAATGGCTGCCGAGGTGGAGCAAGCAGCTGCTACCCAGACTTTTGTTGTCCTCCCTGAAGTTAGCAAGGCTGCCTGTACCAGATAGTGACTGGCTAACTTAAGCAAAGAAATTTTTTGAAAAGCTATGAAAAACCTCTCTGGATAGAAGGAGAGGCTGGGCAACTGCACTACTGGGTATTTATCCCAAAGATACAAAAGTAGGGATCCGAAGGGGTACGTGCACCCCGATGTTTATAGCAGCAATGTCCACAATAGCCAAACTGTGGAAAGAGCCAAGATGTCCATCAACAGATGAATGGATAAAGAAGAGGTGGTATATATATACAATGGAATATTATGCAGCCATCAAAAGGAACGAGATCTTGCCATTTGCAACGACGTGGATGGAACTGGAGGGTATTATGTTGAGTGAAATAAGTCAAACAGAGAAAGACATGTATCATATGATCTCACTGATATGAGGAATTCTTAATCGCAGGAAACAAACTGAGTGTTGTTGGAGTGGGGGGTGGGGTGGGAGGGATGGGGTGACTGGGTGATAGACACTGGGGAGGGTATGTGCTCTGGTAAGCGCTGTGAATTGTGCAAGACTGTTGAATCTCA